CCCTCCCTCCAGGGGTTTTGGACTTCAACTCCCACCATTCCTAAGTCTGCTCTTGCCCCCTCCTCCGTCACAAGCCCTCCTTCTGTGGGGCCCTGCCCTTCTTTGAGAATGCCCAGTCAGTCCCTCATGGCTGTGACGCACCCTTGCCCTTGATGCTATGCCCACTCCCCACGGTTGCAGCGTGCACTTGTCCCGTGGCACTTGTCCACAGCCAGGCCACGTTTTCAGTAGCTTGCCACCACTGGTTGATGACCTCTGTTTTGTTGAGCCTGAGTCGATTTTTTATGTGTGTATGTCTTTTATTTTGTTGTATTTTCGTTTGTGTGTCCTTTTGAGGTTTATTTTTAGGCCCTTTATGCCATTCTGTAAACAGCCCCAAGTGCCTGCGAGGAGATGGGCCGGCGTACGAGAATAACGTCGTTGTTGTTGTTGTTATTATTCTGTTCCTGGGTTATAAATGCCATTTCCTAATTGGTTCTGTCATGAAAACATGAAAAAGGTTTCTCAAACTGCAAAACCTTTGCCCTTGCAGGAGCCACACACTTTCAATGAAGATCTTAAGGTGCAGCTGCTTACCTACAAAGCCCTGAACGGTTTGGGACCAGCCTACCTGCGTGATCGCATCTCCGTCTACGAACCCACATGCATTCACTTCGGTCATCTGGAGAGGCCCTGCTCGTGATCCCACTTGCGTCGCAAGCGCGCCTGGTGGGGGCATGAGACAGGGCCTTTTCCGTGGTGGCCCCCCGACTCTGGAACGCCCTCCCCAAAGATCTTAGGCAGGCCCCCACATTGGCAGCCTTCAGAAAGAGCCTGAAGACCCGGCTGTTCCGATGTGCCTTTCCCGAAAAGGAAACCTTTCATTACCAAGTCCCACAAGCACTGTATTAAAGCCAAGACCGCCGCACACGGCACACGGCACTTGCCCATAAGCCTCGTTTCCACACCAGCACTTTTAACCCTTGCACCCTTACTCTGGCCGGGCCCCGTTTTGTTGTGCCTTAGTGGATTGTTCATGGCTTGTTGTTTTAAATTGCTTCAATTGTTCTAATTGGCCTAGGTTTGTGTTGTTGTGTTGTTGTGTTGAGGCCTCGGCCTTTGTCAGCCGCATCGAGTCCTGCGGGCGATGCTACTGGGGTACAAATAAAGTGTCATAATTAATAATAATCATCATCATCATCATCTTAGGTTCCTGTGGGGGGGGGTCATTCCTGACGTTTCGCCTGCATCTATGGCAAGCACCCTCAGAGGTAGTGAGGTCCTATATGGCCATGTTCTAGAGGCATTCTCTCCTGACGTTTCGCCTGCATCTATGGCAAGCACCCTCAGAGGTAGTGAGGTCCTATATGGCCATGTTCTAGAGGCATTCTCTCCTGACGTTTCGCCTGCATCTATGGCAAGCACCCTCAGAGGTAGTGAGGTCCTATATGGCCATGTTCTAGAGGCATTCTCTCCTGACGTTTCGCCTGCATCTATGGCAAGCACCCTCAGAGGTAGTGAGGTCCTATATGGCCATGTTCTAGAGGCATTCTCTCCTGACGTTTCGCCTGCATCTATGGCAAGCACCCTCAGAGGTAGTGAGGTCTGTTTCAACAGCAAAGCAACAGAGAGTAAACAATCAGGCACATCAAATCACCTCTCAACAAAAGATTCCCCCCGGCACTTCCAAGCCATTAAATGCTAATCAAGGTGGTCAGTGGAAGCATTCTCACCTAGCTCCAGCAGACAAGAGTCCTTTGTCCCACCCTGGTCATCATTCCACAGATATGTAAACTCTTTTTCCTACTTCCAACAGACCTCACAACCCCTGAGGAAGCTTGCCATAGATGGAGGCGAAACGTCAGGAGAGAATGCCTCTAGAACATGGCCCTATAGCCCGGAAAAACCCACAACAGCCCAGCGATTCCGGCCACGAAAGCCTTCAATGAGAACCGACGTCGGCACTCAGGGCAACGCAGTCGGCAACCCAAGAGGCACGAGCACGGAAGCCCAGACGGAGCGGGCAGCTGGCAGCATGCGCCAACTAAGGCGAAGGAAGCACCCCTCTGGCGCTGGAGCGGACCGGCCAAGCCAGGGCCCGGAACAGGCCGCGTCCCCGGCCTCCCGTTCCCGCCCAACCCGGAGGCGCGGCCCAGCCCCACTCACCTCTTCTCCGCCAGCACCAACGCGCTTGACGCGCATGCGCAGAAACCTTCCCTCCCTCCGAGGACCCCGACGGTTGACTGCTTGTTGGCCTGCCTGCCTGCCTTCGCGCGCATGCGCAGGGAAGGATCGAGCGAGGGAGGGAGGGAGGGAGCAAGGGCTGCGGCGCATGCGCAAACGGTGGTGCCCGTGAGCAGCCAGAGCGAAGCTGCGGGGCTTGAGCTGGTTGGGGGCCGCCCCGTTCCCGGATGTTGGTTTACTTACTTATTTATTTATTTACTAGCCACCCCCTGCCATGCGTTGCTGTGGCCCACATGGGGGTTCAGTGTGGGAGGTTTGGCCCAATTCTGTCGTTGGTGGGGTTCGGAATGCTCTGTGATTGTAGGTGAACTATAAATCCCAGCAACTACAACTCCCAAATGTCAAGATTCTATTTTCTCCAAACTCCACCAGTGTTCACAGTTGGGCATATTGAGTATTCGTGTAGAGTTTGGTCCAGATCCACCATTGTGTGAGACCAAAGTGATCTCTGGATGTAGGTGAACTACAACTCCAAAACTAAAGGACACTGCCCACCAAACCCTTCCAGTATTTTCTGTTGGTCATGGGAGTTCTGTGTGCCCAGTTTGATTCTATTCCATTCTTGGTGGAGTTCAGAATGCTCTTTGATTGTAGACGAACTCTAAATCCCAGCAACTGCAACTCCCAAATGTCAAGATTCTATTTTCCCCAAACTTGACCAGTGTTGACATTTGGGCTTATTGAGTATTTGTGTCAAGTTTGGTCCAGATCCATCATTGTTTGAGTCCACAGCGCTCTCTGGATGTAGGTGAACTACAACTCCAAAACCAAAGGACACTGCCCACCAAACCCTTCCAGTATTTTCTGTTGGTCATGTGAGTTCTGTGTGCCAAGTTTGGTTCAACTCCATCATTGGTTGAGTTCAGAATGCTCTGTGATTGTAGGTGAACTATAAACCCCAGCAACTACAACTCCCAAATGACAAAATCAATGTTTTGAGTGAAGGACATACATTGGGCCGTTAGGTGTCTGGTGTCCAAATTTGGTGTCAATTATCCCAGCGGTTTTTGAGTTCTGTGAATACCACAAATGAACATTGCAGTTTTATTTATATAGATTTATTTATTTATGTATTTATTTATTTACAACATTTCTATGCCGCCCTTCTCACCCCGAAGGAGGAGCTGAGGAGCCTTCTAATCAAGGTGAAAGAAGAAAGTGCAAAAGCTGGGTTGCAGCTAAACATAAACAAAAACCAAGATTATGGCAACAAGAATGATTGACAACTGAGAAATAGAGGGAGAAAACGTGGAGGCCGTGACAGACTTTGTATTTCTAGGTGCAAAGATGACTGCAGATGCAGACTGAGGCCAGGAAATCAGAAGACGCTTCCTTCTTGGGAGGAGAGCAATGTCCAGTCTCGATAAAATAGTCAAGAGCAGAGACATCACACTGGCAACCAAGATCCATTGCCTAGTCAAAGCCATGGTCTTCCCTGTAGTCACCTACGGATGTGAGAGCTGGACCTGAGGAAGGCTGAGCGAAGGAAGATCGATGCTTTTGAGCTGTGGTGTTGGAGGAAAGTGCTGAGAGTGCCTTGGACTGCGAGAAGATCCAACCAGTCCATCCTCCAGGAAATAAAGCCCGGCTGCTCACTGGAGGGAAGGAGACGAGAGGGAAAGTTGAAGTCCTTTGAATGCCACATCATGAGGAGACAGAAAGCCTAGAGAAGACAATGATGCTGGGGAAAGTGGAAGGCAAAAGGAAGAGGGGCCGACCAAGGGCAAGATGGATGGATGGCATCCTTGAAGTGACTGGACTGACCTTGAGGGAGCTGGGGGTGGTAACGGCCGACAGGGAGCTCTGGCGTGGGCTGGTCCATGAGGTCACAAAGAGTCGGAGACGACTGAACGAATGAACAACAATTATTAGTAATATCATGTGTAACATAAATGTATAATAATAATATCTTATTATTAGTAGTATTATATTGCATTACATTATAATATTATAAATATATCATATATCTATACAATATATTACATTGCATTATATTATATTATATTACTAGCTATACCCTGCCACGCGTTGCTATGGCCCTCAGAAAACACAAGAATTCCAGTTGAAGGAATAGACAGAAGGGACAGCTGTAAAATGAGGAAGCCAAGCTCGTTTCAAAAACAAAAAAGAAATAGAGGTAATTAGATAGCAAGAGGTTCAATGTTTTTGAATATTTGCATAGAGCTGTAATTTAAGATAGGACTGTCATTATTGTGGGGGGATTTGCATAGCACAGGAGACAAGGCGGAACTGGGTTGTTGTAGGTTTTTGGGGGCTCTATGGCCATGTTCTAGAGGCATTCTCTCCTGACGTTTCACCTGCATCGATGGCAAGCATCCTCAGAGGTGTCGCCTGCCCCCCCCTTTCTTCCCCCTGGCCCAGAGCGGTGGTTGGTGCGGGGGGGGAAGGGGGGAGGGGTCCCCAGCTGATGACATAGGCAGGAGGCAAGATGTGCGAGAGCTCTTGGTGCCAAGCAGGAAGGCCCCACCCAGGCCAGGCCGCTCCCTCCCTCCCCCTCCCCCTGCCCCCCCCCCCCGGCTATTAGAAATGGGGGGAGTCGCCGTCCAAAACACCAGGAGAAAGGGGGGCAAGTCTTTGTAACAGAACCCTCCCGGCAGATGCCCCTCCGGCCACAGACAGGCCCAAGACGTGATGAGAAGGAAGGGCGGGGCGGGGCGGGGCGGGGCGTCACAAAGGCCGGGGGCGGGGCCTGGGAAGGGCGGGGCAGGGCCCTGGGCGGCTCCTCCCCTTTCCCTCCCCCCTCCGCCCCCGGCGCCATGGAGGTGGGGCTGGTGGACTGGACGGGCGGCTTCCTGACGGGAGAGCGCTTCGGGGGCGGCGTCGACGTCTCCGGGACCGCCCTCGGGTGGAAGCAGGTGTCTTTCGGGGAGGGGGCGGGGCCAGGGAGGGAGAAGCCCCGCCCCGTGACACCGCCCCAGGCAAATGACCCCTCCCCCTCCTCTCTGTCCGCAGACGTGGCTGGTGGAGGCGGTGCCCGAGGAGGGGCCACAGGGGGCGTGTCCTCGGCGCTGGTGGGCGTGGCTGCGCGGCCCCGGGGCCCGCCCCCTGGTGGCGGAGGCGTGCGGCGCGGTGCGGACCCTTCTGCCGGTGTCGTCGTGGGCGTCGTCGTGGGAGGAGGCGGAGGCGGAGGGCACGCTGTGGGCGGTGGAGGCGCACGCGAGCGGGGCGTGGAGCCTGCGCGAGGCCGTGGCCGGCGAGGACGGAGCCGGGGGGCGCTTCCTGGAGTCGGACGGCGAGGACGTCTTGTGCGTGTCGTGGCGGCGGGAGGGGGCGCCCTCCCCGCGCGGGCTGTGGCTGCCCCGCCTGGCCGGCCCGCCCCTCGCCTGCCTCTTCCACCTGAGACGGGGACGCTTCGCGCGCGCGGATCCCGAGCTGGGCCGAGTCTGGGCCGACGCCGGCGGGGGGGGCGAGGGCGAGGGCGAGGCTGAGGGGGCGGCGACGGCGACGGCAAGGGCGGCGGAGCTGGGCGCGGGCTGCGGGTTCCTGCTGCGGCGCGGGAAGGGCGGGGCCTGCGTGCACCTGGAGGCGGCCGGGCGGCGCTTCCTCTCGGGCCAGGGGCGCCTCCTGCCCGGCCCGCCCTCCGCCCAGACGGCGCTGCTCCTCCGCCTGCGCCCCGGCGGGGGGGTCGCCCTCGCCGGCCCCGACGGGCGCCCCCTCTTCCCGCAGGGCCCGCGCGGACTCCTCCGCCCCGCAGAGACCCCCCAGGCGGAAGAGGAAAAGGGGGCGCAGGAGGAGCAGGAGTGGTTCCAGGTGCGGCGCCTGCCCACGCGCGTGGCCCTCCGCAGCCCCGCCGCCCAGCGCTTCCTCTCCGTCCTCCGAGGCGAGTCGCCCTTCCCGGAGGGGGGGAGGGGCTGCCCAGATCCCCGGACCCCCCTGATCCCCCTGACCCCCTCCTCTCCCCCCTCCCCCCCCCCCACGCAGGCGGCGACGTGTACGCGGGCTCCCGGAGCGCCTCTCCGCTGGGCTCCTTCCTGCTAGAGGCCGGCCTCGACGGGGACACCCTGCGCCTGCGCGGACCGCACCACAAGTACCTGGCCCAGGTGCGCCCCCTCCCTCCCTCCCTCCCTTGGGCTTCAGCTCCCCCCCCCCCCCCCCCCCCCCCGCCCTGGGGTCGCTCTCCAAAAATGACAACAACAACAACAACAACACATGTGTCTTTATGTCCGCTTTTCTCCTTCGGGGGAGCCAAGGCACTTCACAACCTCCAAGCACGTTGAGCATGAGAGACAAAACAAAGTCACAGCAAGCACAACAACGTCCAGAAATAAGATATCAATAAACATAAGAGCTGTTCAGCAGGGGAACTCTCTGCCCCGGAAGGAAGGGTGGCAGAGGCTCCTTCTTGGAAGGCCGAGTGGCCATCCGTCGGGGGTGCTTTGAAGGCGATTGTCCTGAACAAAGTCACAGCAAGCACAACAACGTCCAGAAATAAGATATCAATAAATATAAGAGCTGTTCAGCAGGGGAACTCTCTGCCCCGGAAGGAAGGGTGGCAGAGGCTCCTTCTTGGAAGGCTTTGGGTGGCCATCCGTCGGGGGTGCTTTGAAGGCGATTGCCCTGCTTCTTGGCAGAAGGGGGTGGACGGGGTGACGGGCCCCCAGGCCTCTCCCCACTGGAGGATTCTAGGGTTCCCCACTCAAAACATTTCACACCCAGGACCATGAGTGTGGGTGGGGAGGGGACCCTTCCGGAGTGTATTCCGCTGAGCTCAGCCACTGGGGATCGACGTGAGCCAGCCCGAGAGTTCAGGGAAGTCTCCACCAATACAGAAAATCGGGGAGCCAGAGGGGGAAACGGAGCCCCACGTTGAGCGCCCGCCCGCCCGCCCTCCCGCAGAGAAGCCCCCCAGGCAAGGCAAGCCAAGCCAAGCCAGGCCAGGCCCGGTTTGGGCGCCAAGCTGAAGCGGGTCCAGGCGGGGCTGGCCGGTCCCCTTCCCCAGCACTGTCAGGTGTCTGGCGCTGGTGGAAGGCACTTCGGCTCGCTGTCGCTGGCTGGCTGGCTGGCCTGCAGCGAGGTCCGGCCACGGAGCCGGAATGGCGGCGGCGGTGGTCGAGCGCGCTGCGGCCCCCACCTCTCCAGGGCGAAGCTGGGCCGTGGGGGGGGGGGAGAGGCCGAGGGGGCGCAGCTCGGGGAAGCCGCCCACTGAGTGGCAGCAGCACCCGTTGCTCTCGCCGGTGGTGGGGTCTCTCAAAAGGGGGGGGGCGTTGGAGAGGGCCTGGGGGTCAGGCCGGCTCCCCCCACTCAGCCGCCGGTGGAATGAGGCGGCACTTAAGAGGCCAAAATGCTTTCTCGAAGGCCTCTGAAGCTGGCGTGAGCCACAGGTGCAGTGGCAACGTCAGAACTCCCAGTCACCCGCTCTGCTGGGCCAGCCCCCCCCCCCGAGATGCCCCCCGCCCCCCTCCCCGCCTGCACCTCCCCCTGGCTGTCCCAGTGTGTCCCCATTCTCTCCAGCAAAGGCAGAGCCAGGCTCTCTCTGGCCGGCTGTTGGGGATGGTGGGAGTGGGAGTCCGAGCGCATGGAGGGAGGGGGAGGGGGAGGGGGCGGGGGCGGGGAGGGCGCTGCTGACCTCCCTCCCATTCTCCCTCCCTCCCTCCTTTCCTTGGACGCAGAGGGTGTCCGGGGCGGTGAGGGCGGACGGCGAGGCCCGGGACCCGGCGACCCTCTTCCGCGCGCTCTGGCTCTGCGGGACCCTCTTCCTGCGCGCCCCCGACGGGCGCTTCCTGGGCACCGGACCCCGAGGGAGGGTGCGCGCCACGGCCACCGAGCCAGGTCAGTGCATGGGGGGGGGGGAGGGGGAGGGGGGGGGGGCTCCTTCCTTCCCCCCACCCACCCACCCACCCTCCCTCCCTCCCTCTCTCGCAGGTCCGAGCGAGGAGTTCTGGCTGCGCCTGGCCGACCGGCCCTTCGTGGTGCTGCGGGGGGCGAGGGGCTTCGTGGGCAGCCGGAGGAGGGGCTCGCCTCCCTCCCCCTCCCCTTCCTCCTCCTCCTCCTCGTGGTGTGACCGGGAGCGGGGCCTGCTCCTCCCCCTCCGCGGGGACCGGCTGGAGCCCGACGTGGTGGAGCTGCTCCCCTGCGCCCGGGGCGTCTACCACCTCCGCAGTAAGGACGGGCCGGATGGGGGGGGCTGGGGGAGGGGGCCTGGACCCGACGGCACTGACCCCTTCTCTGCCCCCCTCCCTCCCTCCCTCCCCCCTTCTCTGCAGGCCGCGGGAAGGGCTTCTGGGGCGTGGGCGGCGAGGGGCGCCTGTTCTGCGGGGGGCGCGCGGCGCTGAACTTCTGCCTGGAGCTGCGGGGCCCCCACCGCCTGGCCCTGCTCGCCCCCAACGGGCTCTACGTCCGAGGAGACCACCGCGGCGCCCTCCGCGCAGACGCCCGCCACCCCCAGCACTGGGACTTCTAGCCAAGGAAGGAAAGAATGGGAGAGAATAAAGCGCACCGCCCCCGCCCCCCCCCCTTCCCAGGCTCCGAGTCAGTCATTGAGGGGCGCCGCCAGAGGTCAAGGCAGGCAGCTGGGTGGGGGGTGGGGGGGGGAGGGGGCAGCAAGGGACCCTCCTCTCGTACGACAACGCCGCCGCCGAGGAAGCGCAGGAGCAGCAGGGCCCCCCTCCTGCGGAGAGAAAGGGGGGTCAAGAGAGGGAGGGGGAGGGGCAGTTTCGCAGGAGGATCCCCCGGGGGAAGCGGGGGGGGGGAGGTTTCCCACGCAGGCACGAGAATCCCGGAAGGCAAACTCCGGCTCCAGGTGTGGAGGGGGGGCCGGCAAGAGAAGGCACGTGGGAGGGGGGCCCGCCACGGTCACCCGCGTCCTTTCCCTTCCCCTCCGGGCCCCTCCCCGCCTCGAAGGGCGCCCTGCCACCCTCCCTTCGTTCCTTCCTTACCGGGGGGAGCCTGGGGGTCCGGGGCGGCCTCGGCCTCTCTCCGCCGCCGCGCCCTCCGGTTGGAGAACCAGGCCTGGGGGGGGAGGGGAAGAGGGGGTGGGGCAGGGGCCCCCAGGGAAGGGAGGGGGAGAGGGGGAGGGGAGAAGACGACTCACGGTGACGGCGGAGAGGGGCAGCCCCGCCTCCTGCGCCAGCTTCGCCCGGGCGGGCGCCTCCGGGTAAGGGTCGCGCTGGAAGGCTGCGGGGGAGAAGAGCGGCGCGCCCTCAGCCCGGCGCCTCCTCCTTCGAGAGACCCCCCCCCCCCCAGCCCCCCCCCCCCCGGAGGGAGGTTGCCCTCGAGGCTTCCGCGTGTCCGCTCCCCCCTCGCCCGCCCGCCCGACTCACCGTCCTCGAGGGCCCGGCGCTGCCGCGGAGAGAAGGCCGTCCGGCTCTGGCGGGGGGCCCGGGGGACGCCCCCTCCTCCTGCTGCTGCGAAGGGGACAAGGGGCGGGGCGTGAGACATTCCCCCTCCCTCCGCGGCAGCCCCTCCCCTTTTCCTCCCCCCCCCCCCGCCTGCTCACCTCCGGGCGGAGGGCTGTGCGGGACCCGGGCGCCGCCGCTCTCCAGGCTCCGGAGGAGGCGCCGGATGGAGGAGACCTGGAGGGGGGGGGGAGGAGAAGCAGGAGGAGAACGAGGAAGCCCCCCCCCGCCCGCCCGCCCGCCCGCCCCCGGGGTCCCAGGTCCCTCCCGCTCTTCGGCCCCCTCCCCTCTCCCTCCCCCTCCCGGTCCGAAGTCCCCGGTTCCGGAGCCTCCCTTGGAGCCAGGGACTTCCCAACTTCACCCGAGTTTAGGTGTTGGGGAGCGGGCGAGAGAGCGGTGCGGCCCATCCCAGCTCCCCTGCCCCCCTCCCCAGGAGAGAGCTCGCCTCCTTCCCCCCTCCCCTCCCCTCCCCTCCCCTCCCCTCGGGTCCCGGCTTACGCTAGGCAGCGCCGCCCCTCCTCCCCGGGGGCCGAGTCCTTCCTGCTGGAGGCGGCGGCGGATCTCCGCGGCGGAGGGGCGTGTGTGGGGGGCTGAAGGGTCGGCCAGGAGCGCGGCCAGGGCGGGGGCCAAGGCGGAGGTGGTGGCGGAGCGGGGGCGCCCTCCCCTCGGGGCCCCCGCCTCCAGGCTCCCCGTCCTCCGGAAGCGGCCCAGGATCTGGCTCACGCTGCCCTCCGAGACCTGCGGGGGGGGGGGGAGATGGGAGTGAGGGGGGCGTGGCTCTCAGACCCCCCTCCCTCGATCCCTCCTGCCCGCACCTGGCGCTGACCTTGAGCTGTCGGGCGATGCGGGAGGGGGGCTCCCCCTGGGCGGCCATCAGCGCCATCCTCCGCCTCGTGGACTCCGGGAGGGGGAAGCCACGCAAGAAGGCCCCCCCGCGCTGGTTCACGCACCACGGCGGACCTGGCAGCGAGGGGGTGGGGAGAACGGGGGAGGAGAAGGCACGCGTGGATTGGGGGGGGGCTTCCCACTTCTGAGGGGGGCCCTTTCGGAAACACACCAATAGGGAACTTTTGGCGGGGGAGGGGGGAGGGGGGGTGTCCCCCACGGGGAGGGGTGGGAGGGGGGCGCAGGCGGGCAGTCTCCGGGCCTCCGTTGCGAGGGGAGTCAGGGCGGAGGGGCGGGCCTACCCTGCATCCCGCCAACGGGAAGTCTTCTTCCTCTTCCTCTTCCTTCGGCAGCGGAGTCCTGCGGGGGAAGCGCGGGGAAGGGCTGAGCTGGGGGGGCTCGACTTCCCCCCTTTCAGGGCGCGGACTTGGCCTCCTTGCCTGCCTGCCTGCCTGCCTTCCTCCTGGCCGTCGGTCCGGGAGCGCGGCGCCTCCTGGTTCAGCACCTTTGGGCCGGACAGCGCCTCTTCCTTCCTTCCTTCCTCCCTCCCTCGCTTGCCTTGGCTCCCTGGCTCCGCGCCGGCTTCCTTCCTTCCTTCCTTCCTTCCTTCCTTCCTTCCTTCCTTCCTTCCCTCCTCCCTCCCTGCCTGCCTGCCTGCCTGCCTGCCTCTCTCGCAGCCTCCCTGCCTCCCTTTCTTACTCCGGATTGAGCAGCGGCGCCTTGGCCGGCCGAGGACGGAGCGGCGGAGAGAGCCGTCGGGGAGCCTTCCTTCCTTCCTTCTTCTCTTCTCCTCCGCCTTGCCTTTCTCCCTCCTTTCCTTCCCTCCTTCCTTCCTTCCTTCCTTCCTTCCCTCCCTCCCTCTGTCCCGGTGGGTGGCTTTCCCTCCTTCTCACCGGGCGTCGGGGTCTGCCTGCCTGCCTGCCTGCCTGCCTGGGGGTCCCAAAACGAGGCGGGAGGGGCGCTCCAAAGACCAAGCCCCGGAAGACAGGCAGGCTAGCGGGAGAGATGGATCCCTGGCGCGCCTGTCCGTCCTCCCTCCCTCCCTCCCTCCGAAGCCTCCTGCTGCGTCTCTTCCCAGCGGCGCCTGGGCTTTGTTGGAGGGGAGGAAGGAAAGAAGGAAGGAAGGAAGGGGCTGTCCCTCCTCCATCGCTCGCTCCCCCCGCCCCCCCCCCTCGGCCCAGATGGTTCGGGACAATATTTGGCGAGCAAACAACAGCCGGGCCGCCTCCCTCCCTGCCTCGGGCTTCGCCTTGCCTCCCGTCGGGCGCCTGGACCCTCCTCCCTCCTCCCCATTGGGCGCCCCCCGCCCCCGGTGGAGGGATCCGCCATCTGGCCCCATTACTCATTAACCAGCCCTCCTCCCCCTCCCCTCCCCGCCCCTCCCCCTCCGCCGGGATCAGCCCCGACGGAAGGCCCGAGAGAGTCCCTGAGACCCGCTCTCTCTCCGCGGATAAAGGGGGAGCGGGCTCTGGCCCGGCACTAGGCTTCTCTGGCTCGCGGGGGGAGGGGGAGGGGGCGAGGGAGGAAGGGGACCACAAGGGCAGCCGGGAGCCCCCCCCCCAAGGAAGAACCTGCCCCCCAGGAGAGCCCTTCAACAGCGGAACTCTCTGCTTCGGAGTCCGGCGGAGACCCCTTCCTTGGAGGCTTGGAAGCAGAGATATGCCGGAGGGCTTCGACGGTGCTTTTCCTGCAGAATGGGGGTTGGATTACATGCCCCCCCCCGGGGGTCTCTTCCCACTCTCCTGTATTACTATGCCTCTAGGGCTGCCCCCAGGCCCGCCCTTCCATTTTATTGTGGTGTTCTATGGGGGGGGGGGGAGGAAGACAGGGTGCCACCTTCCAAATGCCACACTCAATCGAGGTGCAAATATTATTTCCCCAGCCCCACCACCTCCCCCTTCCCACCTGTGAACCCCCACCCGTGACTTCTGATACCACGCCATGTGGAACTAGGACCTAACGTGACATTAAGAGACTTCCCTTGCAGCAATTTCAACATCTGTTTTTGAGAGCCGTTCAGCAGTGGAACTCTCTGCCCTGGAGTGTGGTGGAGGCTCCTTCTTTGGAAGCTTTTAAGCAGGGGCTGGATGGCCATCTGTCAGGGGTGATTTGAATGCAATATTCCTGCTTCTTGGCAGGGGGTTGGACTGGATGGCCCATGAGGTCTCTTCCAACTCGAGGATTCTATGATTCTTGAGCATGAAAATTGAATATTACAGCATGGAGGCCCCCCCCCCCCGCCCCGCATTTCCTAACTCTTCATTATTTCTCCCCCCTCAGCCACTGGAGATCCTGCCCATTTGGGTGTGCTCATGGAATCCTAGAGTGGGGAGAGACCTGGTGGGCCATGACCCATCCCATTCTGCCCAGAAGCAGGAAAACGCATTCAAAGCACCCCTGACAGATGGCCACCCAGCCTCTGCTTCAAAGCCTCCAAAGAAGGAGCCTCCTTCCACCACACTCCTTCCGGGGCAGAGAGAGAGAGAGAGAGAAAGAGAGAGAAAGAGAGTTCCCCTGCTGAACCACAACTCTCTCTCACACAGTCAGGAAGTTCTTCCTCAGGTTCAGGTGGAATCTCCTTCCTCTCATGTAGTTTGAAGCCATGGCTCCCTTGCCTTGTCCTGGTCTCTCTCCAGGGAAGCAGCAAGGAAGCCCACCCCCGCCTCCTCTCCTCCTCCCGAGGACCTCCCCCCCCCCCCCCATCTCCGGCCCTCCTCCTGGCTCCTCTCTCTCAGCCTTCTCTCTCTTCTCCAGGATCAACCTGCCCAGCAGCAGCTCTTTCAGCCGCTCAGTCCTGGGGGGAGGGCTTATTCTCCAGACACCCCCCCCCCATCCTTTGAGTCGTCCTCCTCAGACCTCTTTCCAGCTTGTTAACATCTCCCTTCAGATAATAGTAATAATAATAATCATCATCATCTTTATTGATCCCCGCCACCTTCTCCTGAGGCCAAGCCCAACAACACATTACAATAAAACAAAACAAAACCAAGGCATAAAACAACAATACAAGAAAACATGAGAATACAGAACAATGGCTTCAAACTACAAGAGAGGAGATTCCATCTGAACATGAGGAAGAACTTCCTGACTGTGAGAGCCGTTCAGCAGTGGAACTCTCTGCCCCGGAGTGTGGTGGAGGCTCCTTCTTTGGAAGCTTTGAAACAGGCTGGATGGCCATCTGTCAGGGGTGCTTTGAAGGCGATTTTCCTGCTTGGCAGAATGGCGTCGGACTGGATGGGCCAGGAGGTCCCAGCAAACAATGCCCCCCCCCCCCCGCTCTTCCTCCTCCTCCTCCCCCTTCTCCTCGACGGGACGCCCTTCCCATAGATAGGGAAGCACGTGCCCCTCCCTCGGCCTTCTCTCCAGGGCCAACAGCCCCCAACCCTCAGGGGGAGACTTTGGGCCATCTCTCCAATACATGGACTTTGGTCATCAATAAATATCGATAAATCTGTTAATTGTCATTTCTGTTTCCCAAAGTCTTTTCAATTAGTCTCATTTCTGTCTCAATCGATATAAATTTGGAATTAATATGATATAATATAATTAATATAACTCAAAAACCACTGGACAAGTTGACACCAAATTTGGACACAAGACCCCTCTCAGGCCAACAAGTGACCATCACTCAGAAAAACACTGAAAAACACAGCAGAAGGGACTTAAAAAGCAAAAAAAAACCCACACCAAAAAACCAAAAATACATTACAACACACATGCAAAACCACACACACACATATATACATACACAAACAAACACACATTACACAAATATATATACGCAAACATATACACACAAAAAACACATATACACAGACTGGGCCACAGCAACACGTGGCAGGGGACAGCTAGTATCTATATAAATAAAAATGTCATGTTTATTTGTGGGATGAACAGAACTCAGAAACCACTGGGCGAATGGACACCAAATTTGGACACAAGGCACCCCTCCGGCCAACGAGTGACCATCACTCAGAAGAACACTGAAAAACACAGCAGAAGAGACTTAATAAGCCAAAACACTAAAAATACATTACAACGCATGAGCAAAACCACACATATACCCTGCTTGCTGCTTGCTTCTGGATTGAGAGAATCAGCCGTCTACGAAGACGTTGCCCTGGGGATGCCCGGATGTCTTGCAATCCTGCGAGGAGGCTTCTCTCATGTCCCCCACATATACCCTCACACACACATATATACACACATATATATACACACAAAGGGCCACAGCAACGCATGGCAGGGGATGGCTAGTATTAATATTAAAATAGTGTGTACTTCCATCCACATTTCTCCTATTGTTTTCAGTTATTTTACCTAACATCTACCGTATTGCGAGGGATCATCACAAAATATGAAACCGTTTCTTGCATTGGGTTGTTGTAGTTTTTCTGGCCATGTTCTGGAAGCATTCTCTCCTGACACTTTGCCTGCGCCTGTGGCTAAAGGCACCCTCAGAGGTTGTGAGGTCTGCTGGAAACAAGTAAAATTGGTTTATATCTCTGTGAAGGTCCAGGGTTGCATTATCATATTATACATTTGTTTACATGTATTTATTTATATATGTATTCTGTTTTTCCCAGTTATTTCACCAGATTGTTTTGCCTATTTTTGTTTTTGTGGTTCTGGCTTTCATTTTGCTGGAGTCTGTCTTGCCGGGCTTGGCCTCATGGAGTATTATTAGTATTATTATTATTATTTGCAACAACACAACAACAAGGTGAGTCCACAGCAGACACGGTGCTGGCTGTTGTGTTGGATCCCACGTGGGACCCTTCCCAAGTGTCTAGGGCTGTGTGATGTATTATTGTTGTTGTTGTTGTGCAAAAGGGTTTATATACCTGTGGAATGACAGACAGGGGTGGGGTAAAGAGCTCTTCTCTGCTGGAGCTAGGTGTGAATGTTTCAACTGACCACCTTGATTAGCATATAATGGCCTGACAGTGCCTGGCGCAATCTTTTGTTGAGAGGTGATTAGATGTCCCAAATTGTTTCCCTTCTGTTGTTTTGCTGTTGTAATTTTAGAGTTTTTTCAATACTGGCAGCCAGATTGTGTTCATTTTCCTGGTTTCTTCCTTTCTGTTGGAATTCCCCACCTGCTTCTTGTGGATGTCCATGGCTGCTTCTCTGTGTAGCCGGACATGGTGGTTGTGAGAGTGGCATTCCCAGCACTTCTGTGTTCTCCAATAACATGCTGTGTCCAGGTGGTTCCTCAGGTGCTCTGCTCTGGCTGACTTCTCTGGCTGAACCAAACGCAGCAGCTTTGCCCAAACACGAATCAAGGAACACGTTGCCGGCTGCTGCTGCTGCGAGGAATGGTGGGAGCTGGAGTCCCCAACGCCGCGGGGCGGGGCCTCCTCGGGCACGTGGTCCCAGCCGGCCAGCCCAGGCCCCGCCCCCTTCGCTCCCTCCCAAGCGCGTCCATGCAGAGCCCGGGGTCCAGACGCCCCGTCGAGCGGCTTGGAAGCGCTTGGGCGGAAGGGGGCGGGGCCTGGGCTGGCCGGCTGGGACCACGTGAGCGGAGGCCCCGCCCCCTCCCCTCCCCTCCGCCCCAGTCCCACGTGCGCGTGTGCCGACGTGTCCTTCGGGCGGGCGGGCCTGCCTGCCTGCCCCGGAAGTCCCTCCCTCCCCCGCTGTGGTTTGAAGGCGCTGCCCTTCCCTCGCTGGGCGCCTCTGGCCGCGCGGATTGGCCCTGGCGGAGCGAGGTGGGCGGGGCCCCGGGAGGCGCCCCCTGGTTGGCTGAAGGCGCCCGGCCACGCCCCCTCCCCGGCCGCTTCCTGCCCGCCCTCTCCCTCTCCCTCTCTCCCTCCCTCTCTCTCCCTTCTTCCCTTCCTTCCTTCCTTCCTTCCTTCGTTCGCAGGAGTGAGCAGCCCCCCCGCCGGCCCCATGGCGTCCTCCGCCGGCACCAACGCCGCCGCTTCCTCTGCCTCCGCCTCCGCCTCCGCCTCTGGCTCTGCCTCCCCGGCCCAGGCGCCCGCCCTCCAGCGCGGCATCGTCAAGATGGTGAGAGAGAGAGAGAGAGAGAGAGAGAGGGGGGGGGGGCGCCGGGGCAAGTGCAGAGTGCCGGGGGGGGGGAGGGAGGGAGGGGGGGGGAAGGATACCTCCTCGCGGGGGCTCAGGCACAGCCAAGCCCAAGGGAGGGAACGCCTCCCCCTTCCGGCTCTGGAACTCTGCTGGGCTCGCCTCCTTTTCTGAGCCCAAGAGCCGGCCTTGTCCCTAGCCGCCTCCAGAGTCATGTGGACACCAGCATGGCTGCATGGAGCATCATCTACCTTCCCCCCAAGACACTGAGCCACTCACATCTGCCTGTTTGCAAACTGCTAGGTCGGCAGGAGCTGGGGCTAACAGGCACAACCAAGGGAGGGAAGCCTTCCCCTTCCGCCTCTGCTGGGCTCGCCTCCTTTTCTGAGCCCAAGAGCCGGCCTTGTCCCTAGCCGCCTCCAGAGTCATGTGGACACCAGCATGGCTGCATGGAGCATCATCTACCTTCCCCCCAAGACACTGAGCCACTCACATCTGCCTGTTTGCAAACTGCTAGGTCGGCAGGAGCTGGGGCTAACAGGCACAACCAAGGGAGGGAAGCCTTCCCCTTCCGCCTCTGCTGGGCTCGCCTCCTTTTCTGAGCCCAAGAGCCGGCTTGTCCCTAGCCGCCTCCAGAGTCATGTGGACACCAGCATGGCTGRATGGAGCATCCTTTACCTTCCCCGCAAGACACTGAGCCACTCGCACCTGCCTGTTTGCAAACTGCTAGGTCYGCAGGAGCTGGGGCTAACAGTGGGAGCTCACCCCATCCTGTGGATTCGAACCACCAACCCTGTGYAGCCCCCYGTGGTGCAGTGTGCCAACAGGACTGAAGACCAACAGGTTGCAGATTAGAATCCAGAGATAGGCAGATGAGCTCCCTCTGTCAGCTCCAGCTCCTCATACAAAGGGGACATGAGAGAAGCCTCCCACAAGGATGATAAAACATCAAATCATCCGGGCAATGTCCCCTGGGCAAAGTCCTTGCAGACGGCCAATTCTCTCACACCAGAAGCGACTTGCAGTTTCTCAAGTCACTCCTGACACGACAAAGTCATGTGGACACCGGCATGGCTGCATGGAGCATCATTTACCTCCCCTCCCACAAGGCAGTACCTATTGAGCTATTCACACCTGCAGGTTTGCAAGCTGCTAGGCTGGCAGGAGCTGGGCTAACAACGGGAGCTCACCCCATCCTGCGGATTCAAACCACCAACCTTCCAGTCAGCAAGTTGAGCAGCTCAGCAGATTAACCCATGGTGCCACTACGACCACTGTGGAAGGAAGGGACAAGTGGGGGTGGTGGTGGCAAATGATACTCCATGCCGTCAACTAAGAGCACAGTTGTTATGTATTTAAAAACATACACACAAAGTTTGCAAACTTGGCATGATACTAAATGTCCTTTGACCAGTCGCTGGCCAACTGGAGTGCCTCTGGTGTGGCTGCGAGAAGGTCCCGCATGGGGCATGTGGCAGGGCCCAGGCTGCACTGTAGCATGTGGTCAGTGGTTTGCTCTTCTCCGCACTCGCATGTCGTGGACTGCACTTGGTGGCCCCATTTCTTAAGGTTGGCTTGCACCTCGTGGTGCCCGAGCGCAGTCTGTTCAGTCCCTTCCATGTTTAGCTATACTATTTATCTTGTTTTATTTGCTTGCTTGCTTTGTTGATGGCTTGTTGTATTTGCATTTGACGGGCTTGGCCTCATGTTAGCCGCCCCGAGTCCCTTCGGGGAGATGGTGGCAGAATATAAATAAAGTATTATTATTAATATTAATATTAATATTAATATTAATATTTAAGCCACCCCGAGCCCTTGGGGAGATGGTGGCAGGGTATAAATAAAGTTATTATTATTATTATTATTAATATTATTATTATTATTAATATTAATATTATTAATATTATTATTACTATTTAAGCCACCCCGAGTCCCCTTGAGGAGATGGTGGCAGAATATAAATAAAGTTATATTATTATTATTAATATTAATATTATTAATATTATTATTACTATTTAAGCCACCCCGAGTCCCCTTGAGGAGATGGTGGCAGGGTATAAATAAAGTTATTATTATTATTATTATTATTATTATTAATATTAATATTATTAATATTATTATTACTATTTAAGCCACCCCGAGTCCCCTTGAGGAGATGGTGGCAGGGTATAAATAAAGTTATTATTATTATTATTATTATTATTATTAATATTAATATTATTAATATTATTATTACTATTTAAGCCACCCCGAGTCCCCTTGAGGAGATGGTGGCAGGGTATAAATAAAGTTATTATTATTATTATTATTAATATTAATATTATTAATATTATTATTACTATTTAAGCCACCCCGAGTCCCCTTGAGGAGATGGTGGCAGGGTATAAATAAAGTTATTATTATTATTATTATTATTATTATTAATATTAATATTATTAATATTATTATTACTATTTAAGCCACCCCGAGTCCCCTTGAGGAGATGGTGGCAGGGTATAAATAAAGTTATTATTATTATTGTTATTGTTGTTATTATTATTATTATTATTATTATTATTATTATTTTTCCAGGCCACCCTGCCTTGTGTGCCCAGGGGGGAGCCTCTCATCCAGTATTCAAACATCTCCAGGAAAGTCATAAAATAATAATAATAATAATAATAATAATAATAATATCACTTTTGTTGCCCGATTTCTCACTCTCCCTGAGAAGGGGGTGGGGGTGGGGTCAGGGTGGATTCCAGCCAACAAAAGGTAAACATTCAGTACCTTAACAAGAACATACATTCTAATACAAGTACAATAACAACCTGACCAGTCCCAAAACAAACTAAAATGATAAAAGGTCTGGAGAACAAGCCCTATGAGGAGCGGCTTAAGGAGCTGGGCATGTTTAGCCTGAAGAAGAGAAGGCTGAGAGGAGACATGATGAGGGCCATGTATAAATATGTGAGAGGAAGCCACAGGGAGGAGGAGGGAGCAAGCTTGTTTTCTGCTTCCTTGGAGACTAGGACGCAATGGAGGAATGGCTTCAAACTACAAGAGAGGAGATTCCACCTGAACATGAGGAAGAACTTCCTGACTGTGAGAGCCGTTCAGCAGTGGAACTCTCTGCCCCGGAGGGAGTGTGGTGGAGGCTCCTTCTTGGGAAGCTTTTAAACAGAGGCTGGATGGCCATCTGTGGGGGTGCTTTGAATGCAATATTCCTGCTTCTTGGCAGAATGGGGTTGGACTGGATGATGGCCCAGGAGGTCTCCTCCAACTCCTGGATTCTATGATTCTATGACATCTTTAGTCAAATTAATGATAATAACAACGTTACTCTCCCCAAAGGGACTCGGGGTGGCTGACAGATGGCACAAAGTTCCTCAAAACGCGCAGCCGCAAATTAAATAGAGCCCATCAAGTAACTTAATATAAAACATGGACATAGCTGACTACACAAACACCACAAGTTCATTTCAAGTAAAATTACAAGAGCCATTGCGTAGCCAGTGATGCCAACAAGCCAACAATGGGTTGGCCGTATTTGGAGAGGCGCTGGTTGCCCCCCTTCCCTGCCCGGCTGTGGCTCAGGCATGGGCCAACTTGTGCCCCCCCCCTCCCTCCCTCCCACCCTCCCCCTGGGTGTTTTGGACTCCGACTCCCACCGTCCCTTGCAGCCCCTTCCTTTTCCCTTTCCTTTCCCACTGAAATGGCTGAAGGGCCCGAGGAGTTGGGAGTCCAGAGCGTCTGGAGGGAGAAGCCGAGGCCTGGGGTGGGCCGTGGTTGCTGTGGGGCCCGGCTTCCTTCCGTGGGTGGGCTTTACAAGGGTGGTGTTTTGTCTCAGCAGAGGCTTGGGATTTGGGGAGGGGGGCGGGAGGAAAAGGAAGCTGCCTGAAATGGAGACAGGTGACCTTTGCCCCCTTTAGAGACTTGCATCATAGCTGTGCCGTGTTTGCTCACACGGTAGTCCTCCCAAATCTCCGTAGTCACCTTGTAATGTTGGTGTCGGAACAGCGTGCCCCTCACGTCATTAGGGAGGGTGGTCTCCTCCTGGGCCCTAACCCGGACCCTGCCTAAGAGCTCCTTTCTTGCTGGGATGTGCCTTCCCAGTTGCCCCTGACCCACTCTGGCCGCACTGCAGGCTTTTCTAGCCCGGGTTTCCTTCAGGAGTGTTGCCTTCCTCTCAGGGCTTTCCCGGGGGGCTGCCAAGCGCGGCCTGCCCTCCCGGACCCCCCGCCAAGTGGGTCCCCTTGCTGGCCCCTGGCGCCACGGACTCCCTTTCATAGAATCATGGAATCCTAGAGTTGGAAGAGACCTCCTGGGCCATCATCCAGTCCAACCCCATTCTGCCAAGAAGCAGGAATATTGCATTCAAATCACCCCTGACAGATGGCCATCCAGCCTCTGCTTAAAAGCCTCCAAAGAAGGAGCCTCCACCACACTCCCTCCGGGGAAGGCAGAGAGTTCCACTGCTGAACGGCTCTCACAGTCAGGAAGTTCTTCCTCATGTTCAGGTGGAATCTCCTCTCTTGTAGTTTGAAGCCATTGTTCCCTTGCGTCCTAGTCTCCAGGGAAGCAGAAAACAAGCTTGCTCCCTCCTCCTCCCTGTGGCTTCCTCTCACATATTTATACATGGCCCTCATCATGTCTCCTCTCAGCCTTCTCTTCTTCAGGCTAAACATGCCCAGCTCCTTAAGCTGCTCCTCATAGGGCTTGTTCTCCAGACCCTTGATCATT